TTGGTTGTTAGTGTTATATATATATTTTGTCATTGTGTAAGTATAGCAAGTTGACCGTTTGTTATCTGGCTTTAGGTGTTTGATATGCATTGTTATTTCATTATCTCATGTTATGTGGATAATTTACAGGTAAGAGTGCCCTTTATGGCCTGACTGGTCATTTCTTATAAAACAAGCGTTTTCATTGATGGTTTTCACTGCTGTTCATGTTTGTTTTATATTTTATACTTGCATGCTGTGGATACATGGCCATTACACCTACTAACACATTGATAAAACTGATTAGACAATAAGATATTATCGGATGTATCCCGGATGTATTTGAGCCATGGAGTAGTGATACTTTTTTGATAGAGTTATCGGTTTAGTTTGATTTGTATGTGTTTCTTTCTTGATATAGAAATACAAACATCCAGAGATTTTGATTATTTAACTCGGACATGGTTGAGCCTTGAAAAATAAAAGGAGGTTGTTGTTTTGAGGGAAGTGGGAATCTGATATCCATGTGGGTCGGATTTGCTATGAATTATTTTAGGTGGACCGGTCTTCGGGTCATATGTTTGGTGTATAGGACTCATGTAATAGGCAAGGTAAGAGAGTTGAAATCTTGATTAACCTTTTATATAGAAAAATAGTGTAGAAAATCTCGAACTTTCGAAACATATAGCTTGCTTTTTAAATTTAATCAATTCCTCTTATTTCTTATATGCTAATTTTCTGTATAAAATGCAATCAAGATTTATACCTCTTACTTTCCCTATTACATGAACCCTAAGCTGCATAGGTGCGGGTGCGGGTATGGGACTGGTTCACCTACACCAATTCAAACCAAACCCGACCCACTTGGCTTTGGCTGTTTGATAGGCACCTTTATGGCTTTATGTCATTATCTCATGTTATGTAGATAATCTTCAGATATTAGTTATCTTTATGACCTGAGTGGTCATTTCCTATAAAACACGCTGTTTTCACTGATGAGCTCACTGTTGCTTGTGCTTTTTTTATACTTATATTTGGATGGTTAGTGGATACATGTCCTGTACACCTTTTTAATACATTCGTAAAATTGATTAAGCAATAAGATATTATCACATGTATCCCATGTGTATTTGAACTATGAAGTAGCAATATTTGTTTGATGGAGTTGCCGGTTTAGTTTGATTTGTGTATGTCTCTTTCTTGATATAGAAACACAGGCATCCAGAGATTTTGATTATTTAACTTGCACACAGTTGGTGTTTTGGGGAGGAAGGAGGGTGAAGAAAGGGATTTAAGGGTGTTGGGTTTGGTTTAAATTAGTTTAGTTGGAATGGTCTTTGGGTCATGTGTTGAGTGTATTGGGTTGATGTAATAGGGGTAAGAGAGTAAAAATCTTGATTAACATTTTATAAGGGAAAAATAGTGTATAGAAATCTCAAATCGTTTTGAAAATTTAGCTTACTTTGTTAGTCAATTTCTATTACTTCTTATACATTATTTTTCCATACAAAATGCTAATCAAGATTCTTGCTGTCTTACCTTCCCTATTTCATGGGACCCAACACACCAAACACATGACCCAAAGACTGGTTCACCTAAACTAATTCAAACCAAACCCAATCCAATGGGATCCCTTTCTTCACCCTCCCTCTTCCCCCAAAACATTAGTCTCTTTCTTTTATTTGAAGGCCCAACCATCTGGCTTTGGGTGTTTGACAGATACGATTTTACATGTTATGTAGATAATTTATTTGATAGAAATGATCTTTATGGCATTACTGGTCATTTCCCACGAAACAAAGTGTTTTCATTGATTAAGCTCACTGATGGTCATGCTTTATATTTGGATGATCACTGGATACAAGTCGCTTACACGTTTTAATTCATTGGTATAATTGATAAAGCAATGAGATACTGCCACATGTATCCCATATGTATTTTAACCATGAAGTAGTGATATACTTGTTTGATGGAGTTACAGGGTTAGTTTGATTTGTATGTGTTTCTTTTACATATAGAAACATAGACATCCACAGATTTTGATTATATAACTTGGATAATTCATTTGCAATAGACTATGTTGTATTATTTTACTTATTGCTGTTAAGCATTCATGTTTGGATTAAAAAAAAACATAATAGATGGAGAATGTCTGTGCGTGTATGGAGATACATCATCTCTTATATGGTTCTGAAACTTGTACTATTTGCTACTACATCCTATTCTTTTGCATCATTGCATGTGTATCCATCCATCATAAATCGCTGTGTGAAGTTTTTTCAAATTTCAAATTCCTACTACTTATAAACTTGTTTGATGTCTGTTCATTTATAACAATTGACGTTATTTTATGGAATTGATGTTAGTTTGTGGAATAGGAATCCATAGTTGACTAGTGTATTATCAAGCGTTGCTAGTTATTAGATTCTGATTTTGTTATGTGTATTTTAATCCTTTAGTTCCTTTTATTCATATTCAGATACCAATAAGCATATACCTTGAGGGCGACCTGGGTTCCATAACCTCCAGCCCAAGATAGTTGTGTCCTTCTAACGCTATAGTGAAAGCAGACTGAATTTTGATTACTTTGAGGCTCTTACAAAGGAGTGCAAGGATTCCGGCTCTTGAGTATATGAGCATTGTTTCTTACCATATTCAGCTCTATGGGCATTGCCACTCTGATTAAAAGTGTTTCCTCTGATTTTTTTTTATTTTTTGCGATTTTTTACTATTTTTGATCTAATAAACATGTTATACAAATTTGAATAACATTTAACAGTTATTGCATTTAAACTAAATATAACTTAAGAGTCCTGTGTCAATGACAAACTCAAACATAAAGAAATATGTTCATAGCATGTGCACTTATGCACAAACAAGCATGTAATATAGTTGACGTGTCTAAACTTTGGATAGTCACTGCATATCTCATCTATATTTTATTTTCTTCGATGTATTATATTATTGATGTGATCTAAATGAGGGATTTGTGGTCTGGAAATGCAGAGAATCCAATATGCTAAGACGAAATCAGATGTTATAGCGAAGGCTGATGGCACTTTTGTTCCTCGAGAAAAACGGAGGCGGCATGATGACAGAGGTCAGAGTTCTTGTCATAGCTATTTTTCTCCTTTATTTTTTTGAAGTGGTCTTTTATTATTTTGTCAGCGTATTAACTTAGGTATTGTATATGTTTTCCAGGTCTATTAATTTTAAATTTGTTATTAATGTGTTTACCTTATAATTATCATTGCTTCAACGAGCATGAGCTATATTGGCATTCATTTTTTTCACTTTATCAACAATTTTCATATTGTGAAGGCATCAATAAATTTATTCCCTATAATTTTATTAGTCTGGGAAAAAGTGTCTTTTTAAAGCTGGGAAGATGATTTCAGATTGTAACTTCATTTACTACTAATATAGTTTAGATGTGCATGGTATGACATGGTGATGATATTCAATCCATCATTCATTTTGTTTGAGAAGAGGAATGTGATTTGTAGGTTCCTTTAAAACCACACTATAATTGACTCTTCAGAGCATATTTGGAAATGCTGTCATTCTTCTATTTGTCCAATGCTGTCAATGATGGTTGTTGGTAAAGGTCGACCCTTTTCTGATTGATCTACTCCCTAGTCCCTACTAGGCCACCTTAACTTGTTGATGATGACAATTGGTGTTATCAAAAGTTAAGTGTATTTACCAAAATGGTGACGGATGTTTAACTTTACAAAACAGATACTTTCAGAAGCCATATGGATACTTTAATTTTTAGCTAGATCAAATTGAAATTATGTGAATCCTGTAAAGCTGGATGGTTCCAAATTCTGTCTTTCTTTGGCACTGCGATTGTTGTATTGGAATTGTACGGCTTGAAATTCTGTGCCTCTCTCATCCTAAAGCCCCTCAGAGAATTTTCGTGGTTCCACTCTGCGGAGTAACTTGTGTCATTTGCTGTTAGGTGTATCCTATTTGAATGCAGTCAGGGTCTTACAATTGACAATCTGGATGCAATGGTTCAGATTATACAAAGCCACTTTACTGTTAGATCTTTCATAGGATCAAGATTAGCTGGATCCTTTGACCTGTTCATCTTAAGGGTGCATTTGGTAGGTTGCAACAATCACTTGCATGCAACTAAGACATAGTAACTATTCTTGCCTTCAATTTCAGTTGCAATTATTTGGTTCAAATTTAAAAATGTTCAACTTGTGTTTGCAAACGTTTGGTAGTGCTTATAACTTTTCATATACAACTCATTAAAAAATAAAAAAATATTATTATTTAATTTTATATATTTATAATATTTTTTTAAAGTAATGTTTTTTAAACTTTTCTAAAATGATTTTTTGAAAAAAAATAGAATTAAAAATAAATATTTTTTTTGAAAATTCATATTTTTAAAATAGTATTAAAAAATAATATCTTACAGGAAATATTTTCTAAAAATAAATTTTCTTAATATAAATTTTTGAAAAGATAATTTTTTTTAAATTGTATTTTTTTTAAAATAATATTTTTTAACATAAAAAATAATTTTTATAAAATTATTTCAAAATATTTAAATGAAGTTTTTAGTTTTTTTATTTTTAAATAATAATATTGAGATTTTAATTTTTTTTATTAATTTGAGTTAGTTATAACAAAGTTGCAAGTGCGACTCATGTTTAAAATGGCGTAAACCGGAGGGCAATTTGCAACTGTAGTTGCGACTGCAATGTCCAAGCAATGAAATAAATACTTGCAACTGGACAAAAATGATCCACTTGTATGCAATTGTAGTTGCAACCCCTTCAGTTGCAACCTACCAAACGCACCCTAAGTCAAATAATGGATGCCGGTCGATCTTACCTATCCAATTGAGTTTGCTCTTTTGCATGTATAATAAAGTGAAAACCCATGATTGTAAGGTCGATATATGACCCTTTTTTTCATTTATGGCTGCTATTTATATGAAGATTCGTATATCACAGTGTTCTTTAAAACCACATTAAATATCTCTAAGACCTTATAATTATAAGAGTAAGAAACTGTATAAAATGGAATGTAAAAACTAAACCTAAGATGTGAGATTTTACTTCTTCCCACTCAATGGTTGCAAATCAAGATGTCTATCTATTGTCTAAAACTTTAATTTTAACATTCATAGTCGCAATATCTGGTTTGAAATCCTTTGAATGTACTAAGGTCAATTCTCTATCATTTACTTTATATCCGTGTTTTTGCTGGGGTAGGAGGAGGTATTGCACATAGGGAAAAGAATGCCAAAAGTATATTTTCGAATAATGATGCATGCTTCTATTAAAATATCGATCAACCAATTTGATTACTGTAAAACAAATAAAGAAGGGACAATATTTGGTTCAATCTATGATCTAACCTCTAGGCTATGGACCTATGATAATCACAAACTGTCAAGGCTCAAGCATTCTAACAATACTGCATATCCTATTTTATCACCTGAATTGTACATAATATGTAAATGCCTGGTAACTGTTGGGATTTCCATTTGAGTGGTAATTTTGCTACCAAGTTGCATGGATACGGGTACGGGTACTGGTGTGGGTGCGGTTACAGGAAGCTTCAAATTTGTAAAAGGTAGGGTACGAGGACATGGCTAAAACACAGGGGCTGTAATTATTGTTTTGAGCTAGATACATATAGGACCCTTTAAAATCATAGTTATTAACTGAATATAGGCTGAAACGAACTTGACTCTTGTCCAAGAAGTTTCAAATTGTATGTGAAATGAAGGATGTATGCCCAAGGAGTGTATAAGGAGTGTTGAAATTGAAACAAGTTCTATATAGTTGATTGCAAGTCTGAATAAATGTATGCATATACGTAAGGAGTGTCCAAGAACTGTCGGGTACGGGTACAGGTAGGGGTATGAGTAGTGTTAGGTACGGTATGGCTTCATGATAGAAGTACCCTGGTAATATAGGCTTACCCATCATAAAAAACTTGATTTGTTGAATTTTAAGTAATTAAGTAGTTAAGGATTTGATGCTTTTGATTGTGTTGTCTATTTGATTTTCTCTCTTGTTATGAGGCAGCTGAAAGAAAGCGCAAGGATCAACATCATGATGCAAATCAAGCAGCTATGGGACTGAACCCAGCTTATGCTGGTGCCTATGGTGCTGTTCCACAGGTAAGCTTCACCCTTAGGTCTTCCATTTTGTGTTCTGATGTTATTAGATTATTGAGAGGAGAAAAAAAGAGTTGGTACCATATCTCTATATAATTCATTAAAAAATAAAAAAATATTATTATTTAATTTTATATATTTATAATATTTTTTTAAAGTAATGTTTTTTAAACTTTTCTAAAATGATTTTTTGAAAAAAAATAGAATTAAAAATAAATATTTTTTTTGAAAATTCATATTTTATACAACTCATTAAAAAATAAAAAAATATTATTATTTAATTTTATATATTTATAATATTTTTTTAAAGTAATGTTTTTTAAACTTTTCTAAAATGATTTTTTGAAAAAAAATAGAATTAAAAATAAATATTTTTTTTGAAAATTCATATTTTTAAAATAGTATTAAAAAATAATATCTTACAGGAAATATTTTCTAAAAATAAATTTTCTTAATATAAATTTTTGAAAAGATAATTTTTTTTAAATTGTATTTTTTTTAAAATAATATTTTTTAACATAAAAAATAATTTTTATAAAATTATTTCAAAATATTTAAATGAAGTTTTTAGTTTTTTTATTTTTAAATAATAATATTGAGATTTTAATTTTTTTTATTAATTTGAGTTAGTTATAACAAAGTTGCAAGTGCGACTCATGTTTAAAATGGCGTAAACCGGAGGGCAATTTGCAACTGTAGTTGCGACTGCAATGTCCAAGCAATGAAATAAATACTTGCAACTGGACAAAAATGATCCACTTGTATGCAATTGTAGTTGCAACCCCTTCAGTTGCAACCTACCAAACGCACCCTAAGTCAAATAATGGATGCCGGTCGATCTTACCTATCCAATTGAGTTTGCTCTTTTGCATGTATAATAAAGTGAAAACCCATGATTGTAAGGTCGATATATGACCCTTTTTTTCATTTATGGCTGCTATTTATATGAAGATTCGTATATCACAGTGTTCTTTAAAACCACATTAAATATCTCTAAGACCTTATAATTATAAGAGTAAGAAACTGTATAAAATGGAATGTAAAAACTAAACCTAAGATGTGAGATTTTACTTCTTCCCACTCAATGGTTGCAAATCAAGATGTCTATCTATTGTCTAAAACTTTAATTTTAACATTCATAGTCGCAATATCTGGTTTGAAATCCTTTGAATGTACTAAGGTCAATTCTCTATCATTTACTTTATATCCGTGTTTTTGCTGGGGTAGGAGGAGGTATTGCACATAGGGAAAAGAATGCCAAAAGTATATTTTCGAATAATGATGCATGCTTCTATTAAAATATCGATCAACCAATTTGATTACTGTAAAACAAATAAAGAAGGGACAATATTTGGTTCAATCTATGATCTAACCTCTAGGCTATGGACCTATGATAATCACAAACTGTCAAGGCTCAAGCATTCTAACAATACTGCATATCCTATTTTATCACCTGAATTGTACATAATATGTAAATGCCTGGTAACTGTTGGGATTTCCATTTGAGTGGTAATTTTGCTACCAAGTTGCATGGATACGGGTACGGGTACTGGTGTGGGTGCGGTTACAGGAAGCTTCAAATTTGTAAAAGGTAGGGTACGAGGACATGGCTAAAACACAGGGGCTGTAATTATTGTTTTGAGCTAGATACATATAGGACCCTTTAAAATCATAGTTATTAACTGAATATAGGCTGAAACGAACTTGACTCTTGTCCAAGAAGTTTCAAATTGTATGTGAAATGAAGGATGTATGCCCAAGGAGTGTATAAGGAGTGTTGAAATTGAAACAAGTTCTATATAGTTGATTGCAAGTCTGAATAAATGTATGCATATACGTAAGGAGTGTCCAAGAACTGTCGGGTACGGGTACAGGTAGGGGTATGAGTAGTGTTAGGTACGGTATGGCTTCATGATAGAAGTACCCTGGTAATATAGGCTTACCCATCATAAAAAACTTGATTTGTTGAATTTTAAGTAATTAAGTAGTTAAGGATTTGATGCTTTTGATTGTGTTGTCTATTTGATTTTCTCTCTTGTTATGAGGCAGCTGAAAGAAAGCGCAAGGATCAACATCATGATGCAAATCAAGCAGCTATGGGACTGAACCCAGCTTATGCTGGTGCCTATGGTGCTGTTCCACAGGTAAGCTTCACCCTTAGGTCTTCCATTTTGTGTTCTGATGTTATTAGATTATTGAGAGGAGAAAAAAAGAGTTGGTACCATATCTCTATGTTCATGTTCTTCTAGCATTGAAGTAAAAGAGAAAAGTATATTTTTTGAAAGACCAAACCCACTATAGAGCAAAATACAATCACAGTATTGAAGTATCTGATCATGTAACTTGCTGTTTTACTTTATGTAATATAACAATCCTTAAAATATTACATAACATTTTCAAATAGCACAACATTTTATTTGTTTGTTATGTTAAGACTGAAGTAATTAGGTATTTGCTTTGGATTGTTTAATTATTCATGGTTTCTTTCCTTGTTAGTCTTTGGTACATAGTGATGTCATTATGCTTATGATTGTGCACTTATGATTTGTGCAGAATGAAGTAGAATGTGAAATTATGAATGAGATATGTAGATTATTGTTGATATATTTTAACATTTTATTATCTTGTTAGTAAATTAATTTATCATGTAATAAATTTTAGAGTTTTAATTGAAAATTTATTTTTTGTTATTATGATACCATGATCCTATTATTAGATTTATTATGGATTTCTTTATATTTGTTTTAAATTTAAAAATGACAAAACATCTACCATATGCTGTGCTACACTCTGTGCTTTAAGCTATGAAGAAGCTAATTGTTACGTTATATGCTATCATTATGCCAACATTGGTTTGTATATATTTGCATGATTGACATGCTGCTCTTTATTTAGTTCGCTGTCTTTAAGATTGATCTCCAACTTTCAGTTGCCTATTTTATCTGTATCTTTTGTTTTTTATTTCTATGCAAATGCAGCTATCTCAACTACCTTATCCTGGAGGTGCCAAGTCTATGCTTCAGGAGCTTCCAGCTATGCCAAACAACATCTTGTTTGTTCAGAATCTACCCCATGATGCTACGCCAGTGATGCTCCAAATGCTTTTCTGCCAGTATCCGGGACTTAAGGAGGTAAGGATGGTGGAAGCAAAGCCAGGGATTGCTTTTGTGGAGTATGGTGATGAGATGCAAGCTTCAGTGGCAATGCAAGCTCTCCAGAATTTCAAGATCACGCCTCAAAATTTGATGGTTATCACATATGCAAAGAAGTAAATCCTTCCTCATCTTGGGTATGTATTTTACCTATGGAAGATCTTGCTGGACCGTGCCCTTGTACAATTCATGTTTATGTTAGAATTTGATAGGAATTTCTAAATCTTTATATTTTACTGACAATTTTCGGAGAGTGGTCATTTACATTGTGGTCCTTAAAACATTTAGGAAAGCAGTTAACTGCATCAATGCTAGGTATTATATACTATTGCTTATATTAGCACCTACGTTCCCCTGATACCTGGTAGCGTAGTAGATTTCTGGAATGATACGTTTGACAGAGGAGCTCCATTAATCTGAAGTTTGACCACTGTTAGCTGGGTTGTTGGCGAATGACTGAAATACTGAGATATCTGGGGATAAGTTTTGTTTGTCGCTAATGAACATTTTAATGAGTTACTTGTGTTGCAATTTGGTTGTTTATGCAACTTGCATCTTGATATGAGTCGCCGAGTGAGATCTTTGATCACGAAATTATCAAAGGTGGGATTGAGTAGATGACAGTGAGAACACATGAAAATTAAAGTGGCGAATGAAAATATCTTTTTTAAATTATGAAGAATAAAAGATTACAAAATCTCTTCCTTACAATCTTACTAGAATAAAGAACAATCTCCTTATTCTCTTTAAAATCCAATCTATTGTTTAGAAACTCTAAACAATTCATATTTATACGTCTAACAACGTGGATGATAATCTTGTAAATAACCAAGCCCAATGGAACTTGGAAAACGCGTCAAAAAGAAATCTAGATTCACCTAGGAGCCCGATTCGGTAGACCGGCCTGGTTGGTTTGGCGACCGGCCAGCGAGATGTTTTTTAACCCTGTAGGCGTGCACATTATCAGTCGATCGACGTTGGTCGATCGGTTGATCGATATGGCATTGTCGGTCGACCGGTGTCAACCATTCGGTCGACCGACCAGAGCCGATTCTTCCATTTCCCGATTCTTCTGTTTTTCCTGCTTTTGACCTCTTTCGCCGCCACCAACGGCTCCACCCACGTCTCTATTCTCAAGCTACCATGAGAATCATCTATCCTCAAGCTCCCATGAGGATCGCTAAGCTCCCGAAGCAGAGAGAAGATACAACTGTATCATGACTCCCCCTTTTAGGAACTTGAAGTCCCGTTCAAGTTAGAATTTTAGGGGAGGGAACTCGCGAGCCCCTCCTTCCCTATTGAACCACCTGACTTTGCTAGGAACCTGACCTTGACGTCCGATCAGAAACGACTCATTCGTTCCGCGTCTCGTCGTAGTCACATTCCACTCCAAAATACAATCATCTTTCAGCGGCTCTTCTTTATCAAACCATAAGTCTTTAATGTGCGGTAAGATCACTTTGTCGTCACCCTCATTATCCAACAATGGAGGCTCAAACAACTTTAAGTACTCAGCATTAATCAACGAATACATGCCTAAGTAAGGTGGCAAATCAAGCTTGAAGGCATTGTCACCAATCTGATCAAGAATCCGAAAGTGACCATATCGTATAGGCTTCAACTTCTTTTATTCTCCCTTTAGCCGCTCCTTACTCAACTTCAACCACACAATGTCACATTTGCCAAAGTTACATGGAACTCGATGTTGATCATGATTCGCCTTGTTCTTAGCTTATGACTTCTTCAATTGAGCTTCAACCATAGCGTGAATATGTGCAATCTTCTCCAGAAATCATTAAGCCCGTTGTCTGTCACTCCCTTCCTTGCCATTGGCCGTAGCGTCACTATAAAAAACAAGATCGAACGGATTTGGCGGTAAGAATACGTAGCACGTCTCAAACTGTGACTTTCCCGAAGATCTATGAATGACCCGATTGAATGCAAACTGAAGATATGGTAAGCTCTCATCCCAAGTATTGGGATGCTTGGAATTATACCCCCTCAATATTTGCACCATAGTCCGGTTAACTACCTCGATTTGTCCGTTTGCTTATAGATGAAAGGTCGTACTCTTTTTCAATCTAGTGTCCATCAAACTTCACAAAGAATCCCAAAAATGCCCGAAAAACCGGCTATCCCGATCCGAAATAATCGAACTCGGCAACCCAAAGTGCTTCCACACATTCTCAAAGAATAACTGCGCTGCACCTGCTCCCGTTACGGTGTTCTTACAAGGAAGCAAGATCACCATCTTGTTGAACCGGTCCACCATAACGTACAAATAGTCATGCCCACGCTTGGTCGTTAGCAACCCTCCTAAGGTATCCATAGAGATGCTCTCCCACGGTCTAGAAGACACTGGCAATGGTAGGTACAATCCCCGCTTCCTGTTAGAAGGCTTCAAAATGTAACATAGTTTACACCCTCCAACATACTTGGTAACATCCTCTAGCATCTTCGACCAAAAGACATGGCACCGTAGATTTAGAAGTGTTTTCTGGATCCCAAAATGACCTTGCACACGCGATGTATGTGTCTCTCTAATCCACTGCAACCTATCACCATCCTCCGGAATGCAAAGCGATGTCCCACTATAACAAACCATCCTCTCAAAGCTCGTACTTCTTCCTTCGACCAGCCTTCACCTGTTCGAACACACTACTAAAGTCTTTACTGGATGTGTACATTTGCACATACTCCAAAGGAACCAAGGGCTGAATACATGTCGCCACCAATAAAGTTCTCACTAGCGGTCGAGATAACATATCAGCCAACTTGTTAGTCACCCCCTTTTTGTACCTAATGATGATGTTGAATGTCATCAAATAGGACATCCACTTCATGTGACGTGCCTGCTGTAGCTTCGTCTGGGCATGTAGGAACTCCAATGGCTTGTGATCCGAGTGCACAACCACCTCTTTACTCAACAAATACACCTTTAATGCTTGATCGCCTGATAAAGTGCATAAAACTCCTTGTCATAGGTAGAGTAGTTCTGAATAGCACCAGTGAACATTTTAGAATAGTACTCCACTGGCTTCCCATCATGCATCAACACAACGCCGATATCATAGCTAGAAGCGTCGGTCTCTACCTCGAAAGTCCTCAAAAAATTAGGCAACGCCAACACCGGTGCCTTCGAGATCTTCCTCTTCAGCAACTGAAAAGTCTCCTCATGCGTCCTCCCGCACTCGAACTGAACATTCGCCTTCGTAAGGCCATGTAAAGGTGCCGCATAAGTCGAAAAATATTGAATAAACTTGCAAAAATACTGGCAAGCCCCCATGAAGCTTCTCACCTCCGTCATTGTCCTAGGTGTCGGCCACTTTGTGATCACCGCCACCTTGCCTGGATCTATCCTCCATCGGTCCTTCCCCATGATGAAGCCGAGATACACCAACTCGTCCTTTCCAAATTTGCACTTCTTCCCATTGAGCTTCAGCTATCCATTTTGCAGCACTTCAAACACCTTCTCGACATGAATAAGATGCTCCTCCCAGGTCTTACTGTACACCAAGATATCATCGAAGTAAACTATCACAAAATCCTCTATAAAAGGCCGCAACAAATCATTCATGAGTCTCATATAGCTCGCCGGAGCGTTGCATAATCCAAACGGCATCACCAACCACTCGAACAGGCCCTGCTTGGTCTTGAAAGCGATCTTCCAAGTGTCATCCTCCCGAATCCTCACCTGATGGTAACCAGACTTCATATCTAACTTTATAAAAATCTCGCTCCCTCTAACTGGTCCATAAGATCATCGATCCGTGGTAGTGGGTAACGATTCTTGATCGTTATCTTGTTGAGGGCCCGATAATCCATGCACATGCACCAGCCTTCATCCTTCTTGGGCACCAACAACACTGGAGACCCGCAAGGTGAACAACTTGACACTATCACTCCTGTCTCCAGAAGCTCCTGAACCTGCTCCTTTATCTCCTCGAACTCCTGTACAGATGTGCGATATAGACCTATATTTGGCAAGAAACTCTATTCTGTCAGCATAATCTCATGCTCTACACCCCGTCATAGTGGTAGTCCCTTGATCTCTGAAAACAAGTCTGCATACTTGGTCTTCAACCTGCCAAGATTTTCCTCCTGAAGCTTGCTAAAGGTGGTCAAGCATATCCTACTCAGCTGCTCCTAATAGGGCTTAATGAATAACAATACAAACTTCTTACTTGTATTCACTAGTCTCTTCGCCTGAGTCACCGTCACCAAGCTAGTCTCCTGCAGAAGAGATGCCGAACGAAATATGAACTGCTCACTATCCTTTGTAAACGTATACTTCTGGGTCCGCCTGTCGTAGACTGCGTACCTATCCCACAAATAGGGATTACCCAATATAACTTGGCAAACATCTAACGAAACGACGTCGCACATGACCTCGTCAATATACGACTCGTGGAGTGAAAATCTGAAATTGCATTAGTTGATCACACTCAATCTCGCCTCTTTCTGAATCCACCCTAAAGGATAGGGCTTCAGATGTTTTATCGCCTTCAATCCCAGCATCTGAACCAAAACCTCGAATATCAAATTCTTCTGGTTTCCTGGATCAACAATGACATCAACCAAGCTGATCTTCACCTGCAACTTAAGAACAAAGAGCTGCTCCTTGGGGTCTTCGTCTTTATTCGCGGCCTGCTTGCCTGCCATAAGGTTAAGACTGCTGTTGGGTTCTGTCATCCCGATAACTTCCTTCGGACCCTATACTATCATGTATGCCTTTTTCTCCTCCTCCTTCTTCCAACACTTCAGCTTCAGATGAGGATACTTCTCCCAGCATCGATCAACCACGTGACATGTCTGCTTGCAGTGATTGCAAGTCAATCCAGCCTTCCCTGGATCACCCTTCTTCTTCTCTTTCTTAGGTTGAGAGCTACTAGACTTGCCTCCAACTTGCTTGGAATCTCCCTTCGTCTCGTTGCCCTTCTTCTGCTTGCCCTCAATGACAATAGCCTTCACACTCGCTTCTACAATGTACTTGACTATGAACAGCTTCATCTCCTTCCGGATGTATTCATTCAAACCCGTCATATACTACATGAAGATGGAGTATTCATCCGTTGCGATGTTGAGGACCATCACCTGCTGCTGGAACTCTGTTGTGTATTCTTAAACGGTCTGGTTGAATCTTTAGTGTAATCCGTACCACTTATACCAACGCTCCTCAAGGAATCCTAACGGGTAGAATTGCTTCCTCAGTAGCTTCTTGAACTTATTCCATGACACTGCTTTCTTATTCTGCTTATAGTAGGATTTCCACCACGTCAACGCATGTCTTGAAAGCTTCAAAGTCGCGAACACAATCTTCTCCTTGGACGAATAGCCATAAAGAGTAAAATACGTATTCATCAGCTCGATTCAGTCATCAAGCCTCTCGACGTCAACACTCCCATCATAAACATGGATCTCTATCTTGAAGTCAATTTTCAGATTCTGGTAAC